CTGCTAACGGAACTAACTTTTTGTACTTATAAACTATATACTAATACTTCCTTGGAATTGTATTTTATTGACTTAGTCACACATTTATATTTTTATTTTTCGAACCCCTTAAATAAAAATTCTAGATCCGCCACTACAGATATAACAAATAATATAAGTGCTATTATATCATTGTAACCACTTAATAATAAAGTATGTGTATGTATGTTTGGCGCATTTGTAATCTTTGAGAAAAATAATAAAGGGGACAAAAAAAAGAAGAAGAGGATATATATTATATTTATGTTAACGTCCTTTTCTTTCTTATTAATAAATTATACCTGTCCATCCCCAATCTTGCGTATGTCATTTACACATTTTTCTACATCCACGCGCGAAGTTAGAATTGGAAAAGTAATTGAATTAAAGAATCAAATTCACTCTGATATCTGTAGAAGAAGCCAACATGTGGTAAGAGTTGGGCAGAGGTAGCCCTCAATCACTTCCTAACTTACTCGGTAAATTAGCTAGCAAGAGGCCAATCCTTAGGAATTTCATTTTCAAGATAAAACATTTGAATGCTACTAAATGACAGGAATAGTCTATTTGAACATGACACATGCATCACACGTAAGAAGACGCCGAAAGACTTACAATGAATTTGTTAGTTTCTTTTTACTTGCCACAATTGATTTTATAATTAAATCATCTTGATTAATTGTTGAAGTTAAATTGAATTAGAATAATTTAAAATTTAGGTATTTGAAAATTATATAAAAATATTATATGTTGTAATTTTTTTCATATTAATATAATAAAAAAAATATTTTAAGATATTGATCATAATATATATAATTTGACTTTCAAAAATATTTTCAAAAATAAAATACGACAAATAAAAAGAAACGAAGCAAGTAATTCTAGTTTCAGTGTATCATAAGATTCGTTACTTGACTATGCTATGTTCACTTGATTGATACAATTTCCAAAAAACGTAATATAATATAGTTTTATATTATACAAGACAAAGCTTACCTACATTTTAATATCAATAAAAAGTAATCTTGGCCTATTCTCCATAAAATATTGTCAGAATATCTTGGTCCATTCTAAGAATGATAACAATAATTTTTGCATAATTATATTACTCTTTTTGTCCACTTAGGGTCAGAAAATTCCCTTTCATTATTGGTGGCTTACCTTATTTTATAAGATTTCATCGAATATATTATTATGATAAAATATGGACTAATTGATTGAACATATGAGTAAAGAAAAATTGATAAATATATTGGTAATATAAACATCAACAAATTGGGTCCTGTGAAAGAGATGATGATGATGAAAAGGAGATTTTGGAAATGGATGAATTTAATATGAAATTAACTTCTATACATTGAGCTGCTTAACTCACAATGATTTATTTTAAAATAATAATAATAATAATAATAAGTCGCTTAAATATTAATGACTTAATGTTTTTTTATTAAAATAGAAAAACGGGCATTTAAATAGTCGTTATTAATTTAGATAAGTCGATTTACGTCTAACGGCTTGATACTGTGAAAAAGTAAGTGCCTGCTTATGTATTTTAGATAAGAAATATGACCTTTTCCATTCCAGATAAGATTATATTATCTTCATTCATAGAATAATTTTCTGCCAGAAATGTGCTCAGTTGCATTTAACCCTATGCCATTTCTATTTTAATTTATGTGTCTTAGTTTAGCTTGATAAAAAAAATTAAGGAAATGAAAAATATTTTTAAATCTTGTATTTTTAAATTAAAGATATATAAAACATTGTATCAAAATATTTTTTAATTATTTGATCTTAAATATATTATGTTAGAAAGTTGAAATTAAAAAATTATCAAAAAAAGAAATATTATCTTATAAATAAACTAAAAAATTAATACAAACAAACTGAAATCCCGAAAGTATTATTTACTCTTTGACGTTTTAGACTTGTATGGATTTATTTATTGAATGAAAATGAGTTATTAGTGGGGTAATAATTACTCATTTCCAAGTAGAGCCGTCAATATGGGCTAGGCTCGTTGGGCTGGTCTGGCCTAACCCGTGATTTGATAGGGTTGAACTACGATTTTTAGAGCCCATTTAAGAAAAGGGTTTTTTAGCCTGGCCTGAAGTAGCATAAATTTTAGGAATCACATAGTTTTCATATGAAATTACAATCTATCTCTATTTAGTTTGTAATTACATTAATCCCTAAAAAAGTAAAACAAACTGGATACATAATATGTAGCTCATATACATTAAAAATTAGCTTGGATACATTATAAAATAAACCCGATACATAATATGTAGCTCGGATACATTATAAAATAATTTAGAATTAGGAGAGAAATAAGGGATTTTAGAGGTTTTTAGAAATAGAAAGGAATATTAGAAATAAGGGAAACATAAGACCTGTGTTTCAGTAATTTTTCCTAAGTATGGATAGGGCCGGCCCATGGGCCAAAAAAAAATTAATTAAAAAATAAAAATAAATTAGAGTATTAAAAATAACAAGAGTGTAAACTCAAAATTTGTTTAAAGTTTGAAATATTACAATTTAAATACAAATTATGTTTATAAAATATTTACCACATAAAATAAAAATTCCCTAAAATTTCTAGGGAATCACTACATAGGCCGTAGGCTATGGAATATTGCCATAGTTTTTGAATTTTATTATAATCATTGGAAAACAATTAGGTTAATATTTATATTTAGTTATTTACGCTTTTACTTGAAATCAAACTTAATATATTATAAAGATAATTTTATTTGTGGATTTTATTAATAAGTAGTAACACTAACACCATGTAATATTGTCTTGTCGATATTTATGATAATGTTTTTAAAATATAATTTAATTTAAAAAATTATAAAAAATATACTTTTAAGAAGGAAAAATTACGCAGTTAAGCAAACTTATACTATTTAATTACTCATCATAGCTATAGTTTGCTATAATTACAACTCGCGACTAACATTATACATTAATTACGCGGGCTGACTTCGAGTTTGTATAATTAGCCACGCTTGTATATGGATACTTCAAAGAATATACAAATACATATGTATAATATACAATTCACCTCTCTCCCACTCTTTGCCCTCTCTCGCTCGCCTCTCTCCCACTCTCTTCCCTCTCTCGCTCGCCTCTCTCCCAATCTCGCTTGCATCTTTCCTCCCTCTCCCAATCTCGCCAAATGCATATGTATAATATACAATTATCTAACCGATATACATATA